CAAGTCCTCCCTTCCTTTAAAAAGCAAATTCCAATGAGGTCCTTTAAGTGGGAAAATAAAGTCTTTTTATTGCTCGACATAGCTTTAATTTATACTCACCTTGAATAATGTAAGAAATGTCAATATGTAGATTTTTTTTAAAAGAATTGCATTTGCTGAGTCTAGTGTCTGTTTCCTTCCATTTAATTCCCTTTGTGACAAAAAAAAATAAATGAAACAAATTGATATTAAGAAAAAAATACATTATCATCCATACCACGTGTCCTGAAAATACAATAGACAAATGAATAAATGAACAAGGAAGTAATGAAATATATCAATATATATATATATATTTTTCAAAAATATGAAGAAGCAGTGAATAAATAAAAGAGTAACGAAAATGATAAACTAAGAAGATGAACAGAGATTTCATTAGCATTCCTGGCCAAATGTTGTAATGAGCTTCATATTTATTTCACGGATTAGTTTCGTCGGCAAGTGAGGCATTTTGATGTGATCAGGTAATGCATGACGTGTTTCTAAGCACTCATCACTAATTTGACGGAAAGAAGTACCTGCCGAGTGCATGGCGAGTGTAGTTAGGTGGCCCAGGAACTCGCAATGCAAACAAGAGGTGCATATCCAAATATCCAATTTCACAAGATGACCTAATCCACACATCAAAGGGAGATTAGGGCCAGTCTTGCATCCGCTATTCCTAGGCTAGATTCATTCCTACATGATTAGTAAATTAGTCCAGGCTAACTCCTCTAATAAACCACCAGGTGAGCTGTCAGCTGACTATGTTAGTGGCTCGCGTTGATTGGCTGAGCATTAGGACACGTCACTCCAGGCCCCGCCCACCGCCTCATTAACCCACCAATTAACAGTGAGTTACAAATTGCTGTATCCACATCGCTTTGGAGAGCCATTAAAAAGCTCAACCACGCGGCCAAGATAGCTTTATATAGAAAACAAGACAGTCATTAACTAACTGCTATAAATCCATGAGGGGAATTCCCTGCGTGAAAGGCGCCCTAGGATGACACTTGAATGACGCAGGAACCTTGGCCAGGTGGGGGCATGGGGCAGGTGGAGGGGGGTGGGGGAATAGGGTGTGAGAGGAGGAGGGGCAGGGGGTTGATGAAGAATATTATGTGGTCAGGTTATCTCGGTGAACAGTAGCCCAACTGACACGTCGGTTGAGATGGTAATGGATAACGATTGCAAACATTGGGAAGAACCTTTGTGCAAGCAGTCAGACAGCTGCTTGGGAGAGTGAGGGAGACTTCAACTAGGAGAATTACTGATTGCATGTTAGCACAGCAAGGCGACCTGCAAGACAGAGATTTGGAGGCGAGACTGAAGCTCAAGTGTGTAAAAAAAACTTCCATGCTTTTCTTTTTTTTTCGATTTAGTGCTAGAACTTCAGATAAACTTTGATCAAACACGCACAGGCTTGTTGTGAATGTGTTGAGTTGTATCTTATGGTATCTACTGGTCAGATAGAGAGATCGTTAGGTAGATAGATAGACGGATAAACGGATTAAGATATAAGTAGATAATCAACTGACAGACAAACAGACAGGCAGACATACAAACAGACAGATAGACAGACAGACAGACTGACAGACAGACAGACAGACAGACAGGCAGACAGACATACAGACAGACAGACAGACAGACAGACTGACTGACATATAGACTGACAGGCAGACAGACAGACAGACAGACAGACAGACTGACTGACAGACTGACTGACAGATAGACTGACAGGCAGACAGACAAACAGACAGATAGATAGATAGACAGACATACTGACAGACAGACACACAGACAAACAGACAGACAAACAGACAGACAGACAGACAGAAAGAGAGGCAGACAAACAGATAGACAGACAGACTGACTGACTGACTGCTGACTGACTGACAGGCAGGCAGACAAACAGGCAGGTAGGCAGACAGACAGACAGATATAAAGAAAGACGGACTGATAGCTATAAAGACAGATACAAAGAAATAGACAAACAGACAGACAGACAAATAGAAATGCGCATAGGCAGACAGACAGATAGACACGCACATAGGCAGACAGACAAATAAGTATAATTGAAAGATAAAAAGGATAGACAGATAGCTAGCTAAAGATATGCTCATTTTTAGATAGACCTGTAAGTACATTTTGACACACAGACACATTATACACACACACACACACACACACACACACACACACACACACACACACACACACACACACACACACACACACACACACACACACACATATATAAGGAGTCAAAGGCAAAGACATAGACGTAGATCAAGACAACGAGGACGAAGACGAAGACGAAGACGATGGCGAAGTCGAAGGCGAAGGCGAAGGCGAAGTCGAAGACAATGGCGAAGACGAAGACGAAGACGAAGACGATGGCGAAGTCGAAGACGAAGGCGAAGACGAAGACAATGGCGAAGTCGAAGACGAAGACAATGGCGAAGACGAAGACGAAGTCGAA